ACATTTTTAAAATATTTGCTTTGACTGTATGCATGTGTGTGTACCATGGACATACATGCCTGGTGCTGATGAAGATCAGAAGAGAATATTAAATTCCCTGGGACTGGAGTTACACATGATTATGAGACACCATGCATGTGCTAGGAATTGAACCCTGGTCCTTTGTAACAGCAGCTACTCTTAGCCACTGCACTGTCTCTCCAGTCCTGAAATATATTTTACAGTGAGCACTGATATACATACAAACATCACCTAACACTCAGACCTAACACCCATGACTGATGCAGGAGTTGCAACTAGCTTGTTAAATGGAATACAAGCAGCTGCTAACAGGATTCTCTTGACAAAAATGACTATAACAGGGTATGGCATGTGAAGGACTCCTAACGAGCTGTAATAATGATTGGGAGCCAGGCTGGCCTGGGACTTTCCCTGAGGCCCTAATGTATGGAGAAAGAAATTAGTTCCTTGTCTAAAACTAGACACATATTGGAAAATTCAGTAATGTCCTAGGGCCTTCGGGTACTGAGGTTTTGGATCATGGCAGACTTTCCTCATCCCTTTGCAAGTCTGTGGTTATCAGTTCCAAGGTTGCTGAGCACTTGGTCTATAGTGCACTTGAGATATCCTGTGCTCTTCTTGTGTAACATTGCTTGAGCAGCTTCCTGCTGACTTTGTCCCATTGTCCCCCTGCAAACTGCATATAAGATGCTGTACTTCTTAATAAATGTGACTGCATGAGCCATCAGCTTGTACAAAACCTCCTGGTCTCCAATTTTCCTGTCTTCTTTTTTTTTTTTAAATCTCATTCCCTGGTTCTCCCTCTCAGGAACCTGTCACTGATGAATGACTTGTTGATCCAGGTCGAGTAAGAATGTCCTGGTAGGTTTGTGAGAACCTTCCAGAGAACCAATGTGGACAAAGAATGGAAGGCAGAGCGCACGTTTAGCACGGGAAGGTTTGAAGAACGTCTGCTGAAACTACAAGTGGGTGCACAACAAAGAAAACGCGAGGCTGGAAGGGAAATCGTCACTTCTACAGTTTAAGCTTTGTGGTATGATTGAGCATGGGTTTTTGAGAGATAGGGCATTGATGGTGGGGTCAGAAACAAGCAAAGGATAAAATAGTGAAGGACCCTGGTACTGTCTTCAGCTATGTGGGGAAGATGAACCTTAGCTAAAGTTTTTTTCTTTTCCTCATTTTTCATTCTTTGATGTTTTCATATGTATATCCTGAGTTTTCACTTATGCTCTCGTCTGTCTTCTTTGCTGAGACATTTCTTCTTCTCAGAAGCTCCCACCCTAATTTGATGTCCCTTAATGACTCTCTGAGTTTAACTATGGTTACTTGTGTGAGTGGAGGGCTATTTACTGGCTATAGCTTTGAAGAAACAAGCACTGCTTCAAAGCTCCCCCAATCACCCTCATTTCTCCATTTTTTTCTATTCAGCCCCCAATTGCCTCTTTCAATCTACATCACTTTCAGCAAGACTTATTCTTTCTCACTCCACCCCTAAATTGTATACATCTTATTTTTGTTTCTGCATATATTTAGAATGTTAAGCAAGTCTTATCCATGCATAAGCCATTATGCCAGGCTCCTCTATTTTCTTGATCTAATTTGGCTCTCATAACACCTTAAAGTTATCATTTTTATCCCTATTTTGTAGATGGGAAGATGGAGAGTTGGTTGTTACTGAACATCTATACCAACAAGCCATGTTCTGCATTTATTCCTAATGGTATAAAATGAACAAACTTACTTGTCATTCATCAGTCCACAGAGGGATCCACTATTATAAGGAACAGAATGTCTCAAGGACAATAGAGTCATGAGTGGAGCTGTTGGATGCTTGGTGATTAAGTGCACAGAACTTTCTGAGTTAGTATCCATTAGTCAGTAAGCTGATAATGATTTGAGATCCAACAGCATTCTGATGTTTGACAGATTATGCTCAAGATACAATTTCTAGAATATGAAATTTCAGGTAATTGATAAATGCAGTTTCTCATGTTTGTTTTTCTGACATGGGATCAAACAGCTCTGGGTAAGAGTATATTCTCCCAGGTCAGGTAAAGTATCTAATACTTTGTTGAGAACTATTCCCATACCACTTTAAGAACATCTTAGCTGGGGTTTCCACAAAAATCTTTGATGGACACAGAAATGTGTGGTGTTGGTAGATTAGTTTTTTTTATTTTTAAGAAAAGATCCTTGGGCTGAAATGGGGTAGTCAATGCAAGCATATAGTCTTGGTTACCTTAATGGGAGTCTTTGGGATATTGCAAAACATGTGACCCATTAGAAAATCAGAGCGGCATTTAACCTTCATTAGTACCTGGCAATGACTTCAATGCCAGGGTTACACAAGCATCTGAATGACTGATGGGTCATCACATGCATTTCACTTTGTGTCTACAGAGACCCATGGCAGAAAGTAGGAGATAATTGGTGCAGTCAAGAAGCAATGTTCTTTGGCCATATCTGGACATAGCTTGCTGCCATAGTAAAAGTATGAGAGGTTGAGTAAAAGGGTAGGAGGAATACACATATCCAATGCAGAGCCCTGGGTGATGGAGACTAAACTCAGGACTTGGAAAAATGTTCAAAGTAGAGGGTAGAGTCACCACAGCTACTCGGCAGGGTCAACATTAGAAAATTTGTAAGATCCTATAAAGTATAGAAAGATAATCTGATCCAGTTACCAAGTACTTGTTATAAAAGTTCCAAATTTTTTATCTTAATGCTGGCTCACTTAACCAATAAATTATATCTGAATTAGAAATTTCAAACAGTACCTGAAGAGCTTTTCCATCAAATGAGTATCTCATTAAATTGATTTGTCTCCCTCAGCATAATCTTACCAAGTCACTCATTTGTTCAATGTGGTCCACAGAACCACATAATCTATATTACTATTGTGATATTCAAGTCTCGTCCCTGCATGACCCTGGGGTGCCATTCCAAGTCTGAGGCCAAACTCTGCAACTGACTTCAAAGGTCAACTGTGAGGGTTGGAAACTCATATTTCATTTTTGATTTTACTACCAAACAGCCCTATGACTATTGGAGTTTCACTATTTCCCCCCATGAAAGTATAGAATTTGAAGGGAGATGTTGGTTACAAAGTCTTAACCCCTGGAGATTCTGATTTATTTTGTTTTCATTGGGGGATCAGGATCCACATTTTAAATGAAGAAAAGTGCAATTGTCTAATTGTGCAGCTAGGGTAAAATGATACTTTTAAATACTGTTTTAAATCTATGTGGTCCTCTGAGTGAGACTGGACTGCCATTAAACTCAAATGAGGCTCAGAGAGCCATGGTCACCAAGGAGGTGAATTTTGTCACAGGAGAGGAATTGGGAACAGAGTAAAGGAAGAGCATCATGACAGTGAATGTGTGGTAGAGAGAAGGGAGTCAACCTATAGCACTTTCTCTGGCTAGGTATCAATTATGGAGAAGCAGCTCATAACTGATAGTGATTTCTCACTAATACCAAGCTCAGACTCTGAGAGACAGCAAGCTGACTTCTGCCGTGGCATGGTACTCTACTGCTCTCTTGATGAACTGAAGGGAAGCAGTCTGTTGTACACCCTCCTCTGAACCAGTGCAGCATTTTATTCTTACTCTTTCTGGACCTTATCATATATCTAGTCGGGTATTGAATCATAATATCTAAGACATGTCAGAGCTTTGAAAGAAAGGATCTTACTTTGTATATTTCATCGTTTCCCATCAGGAGATACTAAAAGTCATTTCGACATTACATTTGAAGTAAGGTGGGCCTAGGTTTAATGTGGTCTCCATAGCTTAACATCTGGAGAATTATTTCATATCTAAAGCTGGGTTGATAAGTGCAGCCCATATGATTCAAGGGTGAAGAAAAATGGGTATTAGATCCTATCATGATGGGTTAGACTAAAGCGCTAGGACAAAACATTTTTTAAAATATGCATTAAATAGTGTGTAGTGGGCTTCAAAAAATCCTTTACATAGTAACGAATATGAACACACACACACACACACACACACACACACACACACACACACACCCCACACTCAATTTGACAAAGGGTTTTCTCTATTCCAGACTGGCCTCGAACTCACTATATAGATGAGGATGACATTGGATCCCGGACCCCATCATGTTCATCCTTCCTGTCTCATATTCCCCATTGCTAGGATTACAGACAAGCACAGCCCAGCCTGGTTTATGTTGAACTGGGGATTACACCCAGAGGGCTTCATGTATGCTAGGCAAACACTTATCAATAAGTTGCATCCTCAGTTCCTCAACAAATATTTTTATTACCAAAAGCCCATTCAATTATTATTAATGCAGTAAGCAAAAATTTTCCTCTTCTTCTTCTTTTTTTTTTTTTTTTTTTTTTTTTTACAGGCTAACATCCCGTGTTGTGTTGTAATCCCCAGGGAATCTCAGGCTTCCTACATTAACCAGGTCCCAGATCTCCAAACCCAGAATGCAATGGTTCAGCCCTCGTTAAAGTCGAAGAAGATCAGGAAGAGCTCCTCTGTGAAGATCTTGTTCTCAACCTTAAGGCGCGTTCTGGCACGCCCACTTGCAGAGGAAGTGGAGGTGTCTGTTTTTAGCGTCTTTGAACCTTTCTGAGCAAAGGGGGATAAGAGCTGGGCAAAAGGCACAGTCCCGGCCACAGGAGCCGAAGGAGGGTGAGCGGTTGGATCTGAGTGAAGATTTGAATGATTGCTAAAGCTCTGAGCAAAACCCCAGCACTCTTCTGCTCTGACTCGGAGACGTTAGCTGGACACCTCGGAAATAGGCTGGCTCCAGCCTCTGAGAGCTCTTCCGGGAGACTGGCACACCTGTGTAAACTTGAACAGAGGCTGGAGTTAGCGGGGCACAACAGCACAGCCAAATTAAAGACCGGAGAGTCCGTCCCCCGTCCCCCCCTGTCCCCCTGGCTCTCTGAGGTCCTTTCTAGCCTCACTGGCTCTTGTGTCTTCCTTGAGGCACCGCGGTGCTGAAGTGCTGCTCAGGCAGCCAGAAACCAGACTCTGCAGAAGTTAAGAATCTCCGCATATGCAATTCTCTAGACCCCGGGAGGCGATGGGGAGGGCAGCAGTGTCTCTGTCTTCCCTACAGTGACCCGCTTCTCTTGTCTCTCTCTCAGCAGAATGCCTTGAGGATGGCAGCTGAGAATGCCTCTTTGCCAGAGTTCATCCTGGCAGGCCTGACAGACCAGCCAGAACTGCGCATGCCCCTCTTCTTCCTGTTCCTAGGCTTCTACATGGTCACGGTGGTGGGGAACCTGGGCCTGATTACCCTGATAGGGCTGAACTCTCATTTGCACACCCCCATGTACTTTTTCCTCTTCAACTTGTCTCTCATAGATTTCTGCTATTCCACTGTTATCACACCCAAAATGCTGGTGAGTTTCGTCTCGAAGAAAAACATCATCTCCTACCCTGGGTGTATGACTCAGCTCTTTTTCTTCCTTTTCTTTGTCGTCTCCGAGTCCTTCATCCTGTCAGCAATGGCATATGACAGGTACGTCGCCATCTGTAACCCTCTGACGTACACCATGACCATGTCTCCCCGGGTGTGCTTACTCCTTTTGCTAGGTGTCTATGTGATGGGATTTGCTGGAGCCATGGTCCACACAGCATTCATGGTGAGACTAACCTTCTGTGCTGACAGCCTTGTCAACCACTACATGTGTGACATCCTTCCTCTTCTGGAACGCTCTTGCACCAGCACCTATGTGAATGAGCTGGTGGTCTTCGTTGTTGTGGGCATTGATATTGGAGTACCTACAATCACCATCTTCATTTCTTATGCCCTCATCCTGTCCAGCATCCTCCGCATCAGTTCCACGGAGGGCAGGTCTAAAGCCTTCAGCACCTGTAGCTCCCACATAATTGCAGTTTCTCTTTTTTTCGGGTCAGGTGCATTCATGTATCTCAAACCTTCTTCCCTTTTGCCTATGAACCAGGGGAAAGTGTCCTCCTTGTTTTATACCATTGTGGTGCCCATGCTCAATCCATTAATCTACAGCTTGAGGAATAAGGATGTCAAAGTTGCTCTGAAAAAAACATTGAAGAAAAGTTCGTTTTCCTAAGAAAAGGGCAATGTTTTGAATAGTCAATCTTTTCACCTTTCATATATGACTGGGTTAGCATATGTTACACTGAGGAAAATTTCACTTTTCCATGACTGAGTTCATTTTCTCCATTTGAAAGTTTCATTAGCTGATTCTTAAAGCTGCAGAGGGCTCATATTTAGCCAGCCTTTTGGAGGACCACACAAAACAATTCTTATTGCTGGGAGTGGATGCCTATTTATGTCCCTTCATGGTGTGTGTTTGTGAGAGAGAGAGAGAGAAAGAGAGAGAGAGAGAGGAGAGAGAGAGAGAGAGAGAGAGAGAGAGAGAGAGAGAGAGAGAGAGAGAGAGAGAGTCTCAGCAGAACAGCAGGTAGACCACAGGTTGTATATTTCTCATACTGGTTGCTTTCCATCATAGCTTACTTTCTTCCTCTCTCAGGCCGTGCATGGAAGACTTCATTTTAACCGTGAGCTGGGATAGATGTTAAAGTCTGGTTGTGACTATAGAAATTTTATGCAACTTTTAAGGGCTAATTTTAGATGGAACAATTTTTTTTTGCAGAAAGGTAGGAGGTTTAGGATTTTGTTAAGAAGGTCTTGATAAAATGGCCAGAAAAGTTACTGAGGCATTTTATAGATTTTAGAGGAAGTGTGTTATGACTTACAGGGTAGTAACATGAAACCTCTCAAGACAGTGATGTGGAAACCTGGATGTTCCAGGGTTTGGTGGTGCTGCTGCCTGGAAGAACTTAGAGAAAATGTTAAGCTTCTGAATGGTGGACACTTTCTTTTGCCAGGAAACAAGACCCTCTGTATCTCAGACTGGTTTCAGTTTCACTATGCGGTGAGGCTAGTTTTGAACTCTTGATCTTCATGCCTCTACCTCCCAAGAGCTGGAATTACAGGCATGTACCACCATGCCTAGATCAATTAAAGAATTTGTATATTACTTCAAACAAATTAATTTCCTTCTTTTAATATTACATTTGTAAAGTTAGCATGGAGAAGTGTATAGTAGCTCAAGGTTATTGGTTAAGAACCTGGAGAATATTTTAGGAGCACATAACTGTTTGCGTTACAAGTCGTAATCAGGTTAGCCCCACTGTGACCAATTAGTGAAAGAAATGTGCATGGAAAGTTACAGCTGTTGCAAGCAACAGAGACTGTGAAGTTCGTACCTTTTCAGATCAACTCGCTGCCACTTGGTACCTTTTCTCTCCATGTCTTAGATGAAATTCTCTAATGATCTTCTTCCCTTTCTTCTGGGTGATTTTTGTGGGTCAAGTTGACTGCAATCTTGACAATGGAATCAGGAAGCAAGCAAAGAGTGATATGGTGGCATTTATTTCTGGACTTCTTCCAGTTAGGCAAAAGGGGGCAGTAACTAAAAGCTCCATTTTCTTTCTTTCTTTTTTTTTTTTTTTTTTTGGTTTTTTCGAGACAGGGTTTCTCTGTATTGTTTCAGAGGCTATCGGTCCAGCCCAGCCTCGAACTCACAGAAATCCGCCTGCCTCTGCCTCCCGAGTGCTGGGATTAAAGGCGTGCGCCACCAACACCCGGCAAAAGCTCCATTTTCTATTGAGCGTCCCTCCCTTGATTCTTCCTGCCAAGACACCATAGTGCATCCTCTAATGCTTTTGCTGGACAAGCTTGGCAGTCCCTTTGTGATTTTCTCCACCACAATCGTGCCCAAACCCGTGCAAATAGTTATTACATTGTACTTTTAATGACTTTGTTTGACTGGATTATTTGTTTTCTCCTGGGACTCATGGGGATACCTCCCAGTGAGAGGTGGATGAGCTGATAGACCCCATACTCATAGATTATTAAGCTGATGTCATCATGTGAAACCTTTTGGTTTCTAAGAAAAGTATGAATGGTAGATCTTTTTTTTTTTTTTTTTTTGGTGAAGTAATGATATGTAAAATGTTTGTCTCCAGGAGCTGTCTTTAGAAACAGCCTTTTCCTTCTCAAAAATGAGAAGTTTGAACAGATGTATATAGTTTTACCTCTTGGATTAATGCAGATCTATGAAGATAAAATCATAGGAGTGAGCATGGATGCAGGAACAGTAGAATTTGGACAAATAGAGCAAGGAGAGGGAAGACAGCACCAAGACTAAGAAAGAGCAGAGACTAGGGAAAGGCCTTAGAGTCAGATTGGGTTTCTAGATTTTACTCAGTAGTTATGTCACTTTAAGCCACACTATAGTTCTGAACAAGAAATAATTAAATTAAATTAAATTGTGGGAATTAAATGGCAGGCACTCAACAATTCTGTTTTCATTACCTAGGTCTAGACTTTTTCTTCACATACTAGCACTTCTAATAACAGTCACTGTGCAAGTTTGGGCCATCATCACCTTTATGAGTCCATGCATGCCCACATTAAAAAACAACATGTTTGATCAGATCATTTCTACATTCATTTATAATAGATACTTATTTGCATATTAACTAGAGAGTAATTGTTTGCTGTATATGACTGCTAATGAACTGCTCTAAATTAAAGGACACATTAGGAGGTAGAACCTTTGAGAGGCAAATTCATGAGGGTGAGGTCCTCATGAATGGGATTCATGTCTTTACCAAAAAGAACACTTGACTAAGTCTCTTTTTTATAAGGGCACTAAGAGACTCTGATATTTAAGGACACAACAAGAAGATTCGGTCTGTTAACCAGAAAAATCAATTCTCCAGTAGAACAATCTATCTATTGATAACTTGACCTTGTATTCCTAGCATCTGGTACTGTGAAAAATAAATTGCCTATAAGTCATTTACTGGATAGTTTTTGTTATAGCAGTCCAAACAAGCTAAGAATATGTTTATAGAATTTGTAAATATTACCAAAGAAAACTATGGAGAAGACATCTCCATTTATGCTGGCTTTCTGGTCCTCCCTAAGTCTCACCCAGAGTCCATTCTTAGCCCATCCACCTCTTAGCTGTGCATTTTTAGACTCAATGCATGTCCAAGTGTGTGTGCATGCCTACATATTTTGCCACAATATTTTTCTTGTTTCCAAGTCAGGAAAAGCATATTTAAAATGTATCTTCTGATAAAATTTAGTCAGAAGTGGAAGAAATTGTTATCATGTAAATAAGTGAATAAGAAAAAATAAAGATGAGCATTCAGGGTTGTAGTTATGGGAAAAGGAGTCAGGAGAGATTGCAAAATAAAAAAGCTTATTCTTGGCTGCCAGAATGTGAACACTGAGGAAGACATGGCTCACAGAGAGACTTGTTTCTCATCTTTGTCTCTGACTCAACTATCACAATTGCATAACATCCCGTCATATGGATGTAGTTTGCTTAATTAGTAATCCTCTATTATTGTACATTAGGTTAATTTCTATCCTTCAAAATGATGCTTGTTAAGCACAATTATATACATCATGTCTTAAGGCTCTCCCCTATTAGGATATCAGGTTATATCCTTAGATAGTTATTGGATTATGTAAGATTCTCCAGTTTTATAGAAAATTCCTTTATGCATTTATTTATTTATGTAGATGAGTGTTTTTTATGCATTTAGAACTGTGTGCCACGTGCATGCCTGGTGCCCCTGGAAGTCAGTATAGGGCTTCAGATCCCCTGGGTCTAGAGTTACAGGCAGTTGTCAGCTGCCGTGCAGGTGCTGGGAATTGGACCTAGGTTCTCTGTAAGAACATCCAGTGGCCTTATCCACTGAGCAATCTCCGGCCCCTGAATATTTATTCTTGAAAGTTTTTTCAACTTGTTCTCTTTCTCTGGAAGCTGCTCAGGGAGTCTACTGCCTTTGACTTTTGGTGATGGCAGCATTTACTTTATTGTCCTCTTCTTTTACACCCCTTTCTACTTTATTTCATCATCTGCTGTGATAAATGTCTGAAGAAGGAAACAAAAAATGGGCTATGGAGATGTCTCCATGGGTAAAGTGCCTGCTTTTGCAAGCATGAGGACTAGAGTTTGAATGCCTAGTGCCCACATAAAAAGCCAAGCATGGCATCTGTAACCCTAGCATGCAGGGCGGCATGGGGGGGTGGGAGTTTGGTGGGGCAGAGAAATTGGTGCCGAGGACTTGCCAACATAACCAATTGGTGAGCTTTAGACTCGGTGAGAGATCCTGCTTCAAAAATGTATGGTGGACAGTGACTGAAGAAAGTGTCTGGATATCAACTTCTGGATTCTACATGTGCCCAACGAGGCAGAGGACACCACACAGATATGTGCACACACACACACACACACACACACACAAACACACACACACACACACTCCCCACTCACAAGGGGAGCAGCAGCAGAAGAATCCCAAATATGACCTGTTCTCCACATGCAAACATACACATGTACATTTACATCCTTGTGTAGACATACACATACACACACAAGTACTCATACTACAATGTACATAGAAAAAATAAGCAAAAATAAATAAGGAAAAAGAGCAAAACTGGAAAAGGTCCTTCTTTTCTTATGTGAGTTTTTTCCTAAATAGTTCATTTTATTGCAGGAGGAGGAGAGTATCAGGAGACTTAGCTTTTGTGCTTATGTATTGTGAGGTGTCCTTCTAGAATAGCTCTCCCCGCTTTGGCGTCCGTCTTTTCTGTGTGTTCTCACAATGCTTAGCACTTAGCATGGGACGCTCTGGAAGCAAGGTAGAGCCATTGCTTGCTCACTTTTCGGTATTCATCCTCACCATAAATTGGGTGCTACATTTTGTGCATGCAGCCCCAGATGTCCTTGTTGAGGTATCACACCACTCGCCCCTGGCAGATTAACCCTTGTCAGGTAGGTGTTAATGCCATTGGACACAAGCATAGGGCATATACTTTCAGGAGGTGACTTACCAAATGGGCATTCATGTTCTCCTTCTTGTGAGAATGTCCGTCTCTTCCAATATAGAAATGAACGTGTTTGGACTCACTGTACCATCACTGCAAAGCCTAATTATATTTTCTTTGTTTGCTTGAGACCTCTGACTTGGTGGCTAATGTACAAATGTCAGTTTCAGCTTTCCATACCTTCTTATGTTAAAATGAATGACATAAGCTAAGATGATTAAACTAAATCTTTAATTAAACCTTGGAAGGATGTTTTATAAAATTCCTAGGCTTGATACTCACTTTTCATTCTGTCTTAAGTAGTATCCCAGAGATAATAGGAGAGAAAACCTGGACAATGGAGAAAAGGAATCGCTCACTAGTAACCGCTGAATTTCTGCTCTCACAAGATAAATTTGATGAGTACAAAGACTCCAAAATCAGCTAGACCT